TTCTATTTCCTGTTTTGACATTTGCTTAATCCACATGTGGATTTTAGCCCAATAACTTTTTGCTCTGTCACAAGTTCACCATACATGATAATAACTTCCTTCATGATTTTTACATTTCCAACACTTATTTGACAGATTTGGGAACATTTTTGCAAGTTACCTGAATATAAATCACACTGAATTCATAGGATTTAATGTTCTGTAGTCACATATAGGACTGTGCTGCCAGGAGTGTTACCAGACTTCGTCTGTGCTCTTGATTCAAAGAATTGCAGGCTCCAGACACTTTTGTCTTTTGTCTGTTACCTGCCTGTGTTTCCTTGCCACTTCACCTGTCTTTATTTTCTATACAGAGACTCCAATGGGGAAAAGATGGAATGCCTTCACACTTTATTTCAAGCAGCAGAGCTAGAAGCCATACATCTGGAAGCACCCCAAATCTTGTAAAGTAAGGAAAAGCTGATGTCACCATTAATTCTGAAGAGGGCACATACATCTTATTCTAGTGGGTCAGCTTTGGCCATTCTGCTGTGAGTGACCTTGCTAATAATACAGACTTGTGATGGAGTCTAGCCTCATAACCTCTGAATAATAACCTTTGAACTGCAGAGCTGCAAGGGACCCTGTGTGTCGCCACGAGAACCGCCTTCCAATACGGATTAAGTTCTCAAGTCAAGACCCCACTGTAATACAGACTTGTGATAGAGTCTAGTCTCATAACCTCTGAATAATAAGCTTTGAACTGCAGAGCTACAAGGGACCCTGTGTGTCGCCAAGTCCAGCCCCTCTCAAGGAAACATAGTACAGAAGTGAACTCCTTACCTCTGGCTCCACAGACAGAAACTTAAGCCACTGAGGTACTCACAGTTCTTTTAGCAACACTCCTGTCAGCTGCTCTGACACATTCAGACCTCCTCACTGCATGAAGATGTTCATCCATAAATTTATTAGTGACTAGTTAAACATATATGTGGTTGCCATGGATAGCTGTCTTGGCTCCCTATCCTCTGAATAAAAGTTTGTTGCATCTAGTGAGGCAGCCACAGAACACAGAAGACAGAATATTTCAAAGTGAATGTGTAAGACCAAGTGTTGTCTTGTAGATTCAGGCCTTAAAGTGCTAAGATGCCAAGAGTATAAATCCAGGCATTCTCCCTTTTTCCTAATTATTTGGATCCCATGGTATTTTTGTCCCAATCACTCACAAATCAGATAGGACATGATATTGCTCAAACCTACAGATGTAGAATACTTGAATTGTGTACAGGGCGGTTGCTGTTTTGTCTCCATACTGTAGATGGCATCCTAGTTGCTTGCATTCAATGACCTAAATGAGATTAGAGGAAATACTGGTGATTATTGATTTGAAGATCCCTCTCACAGGTAATCTATATGGAAAATTTCAAGTCTATGGAGGTTAATTGTAAGAACTGTCCTATAACCAGCTGTTGGCAATCCTGGATCGCCACAATGTCTTGCCCATGATACTCATGTGTATGTTTATAAGGGTATATGAAACCGCAGAATGTAATAAGCAGAAAAATAGGTTTTGACAATTTTCCTAATTTGTGGCTCTCAAGAGAATATAACATTCATGGGATAAAAGGGTAAGTACTTTTAGAGCTTGGAAAATGGTTAAAGAACCGAATGCACAGTGCAGGAATAAACAGACATTTCCAAAAGAGAGCTGTAAACTGCCTTGGATCCGTACAAAATGTTTAAACTTGATCATAAGTGACGTAGTATTAGAAATGAGTACTGAAAGAACGAAATTTCTTAATGGAACTAAATTTTTTTTAAAAAGTTTGATGAGTTCCAGAGGCTTCAAACTATTTATTTATTCATTTCCAAAAGAGAGCTGTAAACTGCCTTGGATCCGTACAAAATGTTTAAACTTGATCATAAGTGACGTAGTATTAGAAATGAGTACTGAAAGAACGAAATTTCTTAATGGAACTATTTAAAAAAAAAAAGTGTGATGAGTTCCAGAGGCTTCAAACTAGAGGAACAGGCTTCAAAAATCACAAATAGATTTCAACAGAAGCAAGTGTAAAGTGGTTGCAGAGTGGCACAAAATCAAGCCAAATCCCATGTGAAATGCCAAGAATGAGACCATGAAGCTGCTGCAGTTAGCTCAGTGGAGATGCTGCTCTCCTGTGTGTGATTGTTGCAAAGGAAAGGAAGCAAAAGGAAAACTGCCAATGCAATACTGCCCTCCAATAAACCCATAATCTGATTGTATGTTACACGTTGTCAAGTTACTTCTAACATCTGTGTAGGCATCCTTCAGTCTCGAAAGACTATGGTAACATGCTGTTAATACAGGTCTTGGAACAGCGTCCTCTGCAGAGCACGAAGCCTGGGGAAAAGAATATGGAGGATAGACTGTTACTCAAGGAGCAAATCCCCCCTCTCCACATCGCTGAAGTAGTCCAATGGAAAGGCAAGAGCCAATACAACCGATTCCAGAGATGTCGCAGGAGTTGCCAGAACATCACAAACTGCCTCTGGGACTCCGGCTCCGGATTTTGCCTCTAGGTTAACTCCTGAAGCCTTTTCCATGAGTGGATATAGCCACAAGGCAGTGGAGGTTTGAAATCGGGGTTTTCCTTCTCCTAGATGGGCTGCTTTCCAAGGCTGATGAGCCCCACCTACCCAGTGGGCACTAGGCCTGTTGCTTATTGGAAGCCTGTTGCCCTCCAGAAGACCTACAATATCTCAAATCCCTGATAATGCGGGATTTTGAGTACAGAAATATCAGAAGGCCCACAAGTTTCCATGCAGACGCTGTGGTCTCCTAGAAATTGGCAAGAATGCCACTAATAGATCATTATCTTCTTTCAGCCTGTGCCTCCTTCAAACCACTAAAGAAATGTAGGTTCAGAAGGGGGATAAATTGCAATAAGTCCTCTGGTACATACCGTCCCATAAAGTTTCACATTCTGAGCACATTTCTTGCATATTGTGTTGGTTCTGCTTTCTAATTTATGACTATACAAATAAGTGTGTAAGACATTCAAAGAATGTCTTAACATTGCTGCCCCATCTCCAAGTGTTTACACGTTTGAGCAGAATCTAGATCTCCTCCGTGTCCTAGTCTGATGCTCATCCATTATACCATACTAGCTCTTGGAATATTGTGTACAATTTTGATCACCACACCTCTGAGAGGTTATTGGGCAGCTGGAATGGATGCACTAAAGAGCAACCAAAATGCTCAAGGGACTGGAGCATCTTCCCTTTGAGGAATGATTACAGTGTCTGGGTGGTTTGGCTTAGAAAACATGGAGTAAGAGGGGGAAAATGACTGAGGCATATTGAGTCATGCATGCTGCAACACAAGGTAGATGTTGTTATATGCTGTCAAGTTCCCTAAAAGTGTGTGTGTGGGGGGGAAGAGAACCACTTTGGGCCAAATCACACAATACGGATACCAAGTTGTTAGAAATCCGTAAGTGCTGAAAATATCTGATTTTCACAGTAGGAGTTTTTCACACATCCTGCTGAAAATTAGCCTGCTTTGTTTTCTGATTGGTTACTGGGAAGCAAGCCCAGGTAGTTTGTAAATACACAACATCACAAAGGTCTGCCCTGAATCACATCTCTGGAACACTAATGAATCTCAACCTATGATAACAGACTAATAATAATGCATAATTTTGCTTTTAGACAAGCAGGGTAATCTGGTCGCTTGTGCTTTGAATAGGAAAACTCACAACAGTTCGCTTTATGAAGTGGAAGTTGGTAATATTGCCAGGTGACTTGGAAAAAATGGTAAGCTCTGATTTTCTGCCTTTAATACCAGCTTGATTTTCCAAAATCAGCAGCTAAAACCTTTTCACACATACAGGTAAGCATTTCCTGTTAGACTGTGCTTATCAGATTGGTTTGAAAGAAACATCTACAAGGGCCGTCTGAAGTTGGCATTATAATTTTAAACTCCAGGAGACACCCAAGTGGATTGCCTCTTTTCAGAAAAAGAACAATAGGAGGGAAGCCAGTTTCAAACTAGCCTAAAAGAAAGGATGTAAAATTTTGGCCGGGGAAAACTTTATGGAAGCACTTAAAGCAAAAGCGGCAGAACGCTGGCCTTACAGAAGATCCAGGGTCAATAGTAAGTGCAGATGAAGATGGTTGCTGAAATATCTGAATATCTGTCCAATTTATATGAAACTGGGCTAAAGAATTTGTGCTGCCTTTGGTGGCCTGGGGCAGTGGTCCCCAACTTTGGGCCTCCAGATGTTCTTGGACTTCAACTCCCAAAAATCCTGGCCAGCAGAGGTAGTGGTGAAGGCTACTGGGAGTTGTAGTCCAAGAACATCTGGAGGCCCAAGGTTGGGGATCACTGGCCTGGGGTACAGGAGGGTGTGGCTAGTTGGCGATACCTCCAAGAGTTGTAGCCAAAGCCCACTTATCTAGATGAAATGGAGGCAGACATCACAAACCAATTAGATTAACACTGGGAATACAGCAAGCTCCTCTAGTATTTTCCATATATTCCACAAGGACCCTGCCTCTGCATTCACCTGTTTGGGTGGGCGTAGAGCCCCCGATCCCTGGACAGAATGCCCCCATCATTTTGCGGGCATTCCCAGTCCCGTGGGAGAGCACCTGACAGAAGAGGATACGCATGGATTCCGCGCATCCTTCAAGTGGGGCTCGCGTCTCCTTCCCTTTGTTCCGGCTGCACGGCGCCCTCTCTGCAGCCTCGCCACCCGCCCGAGAAGAGCGTTCTTGGGGACAGAGACCTGGAACCGTTCCGTTTTTGGAGCGCCAGTTTCCCGGAATCCCCAGCCAGCAAACTCCGGGGATGGCGGGGATGCTGAGAGCTGCAGTCCAAACAGGATCTTTCCTGGCCGCCGACGCCCACGATGACTCCTCCACCTTTGTTCACTCTCGGCCACAAAGCCGGAGCCCTTTGAAGTGCCAGACGAAGCTCCGCCCCTGGAGGGAGCTTGGCTCCTCCCCCTCGTCGCCCGCCTTCACCTAAAAGAGGAAGGTGGAAGAAAAGCAAGATCCGTGTTGCGGACCGGTTGAGAAGACGCAGAGTAGACCATGGGGCGCCTCGGCTGGCTAGCGCTCTTGTTCTTCTGGAACGTCGGTTCAGGTGAGTTTGCAAGCAACGCAAAACCTTCATCTCTGGGGCGTGCGCGCATCTCTCGGAAGTCCTGCTGGCTGGAAGTCATTCCCTGTGCCAGGATCGAGTTCCCTGTTTCTGACGTTCAGGCCAGAGACCGGAAAGTTCGCGGGGAAGGTTCAATAGATTGAATGTTTGTTGTCATTCTGTGCCGTCAAAGTTGGAAAGCGAGGTATAGACACCAAGAGGGCTTTCAAGGCAAATGAGATATTTAAGGAGTGCTTTTCCGGGTTCCGCACCCTCCGTGCTTTTCCAGGGCTGAGTGGGGATTCGAACCCGCAACTCTCGAGTTTGTCACTGTATCCACCACACCACACTACTGTGTTAAGTTTTAATAAGCTGAAAAACTGATTTTATTGTGTTTGCATTGAGGGAGAACCTTTCTAACAATTAAGTTAATTTTAAATTGGTGTGTAAATTAGCACCAGGTCATTGCACTAAGAACCTTCCTACAATGAAAGTGAAAAATGCTACCCTCTGCTTGCAGTCTTCACGGATTAGATTCCAAACCAATGACCAGAGTTCAAAGATATCTATCCAGATGAGAAGAATGTATTTATTACAGTCGGGTGACCAGCTCATTAAACATTTTTATGACTAAAATGTGCGAAAAGTTTAACGATATACAACCAATTCATAAAACATATTATGTGGTTAAAATATACAGCCTATTTTTGCACTCTCTATGATGGTGTGGTCAGAAGTACAGTACTGTCTTTATGTATATCAGCACTTACTAGTACAACTGTAGACATGAACATCAGTGAACTGTAGACTTCCTTTCGTGGTAAACTGGATGCCCTCAAAATGGTTTGGAATATTAGCTAACCTGGCACCTACACTTACATGTGCAGGCAGAGATGGGTTTGAGTTAAGATACCTGTAATCTGCTGGGTGAGTTTGACTACATTCCCTGAAAACAATCAATGCAGATATTGCTGGCTTTTAATTATCATCTCTGTTCCATCTGGAAGTGAATGAGTGTTGGCTTGGAACAGAGCTTATAGATATTACTAGTCACACCCATGCAACCTTATAAGGAGAATGATGCCGTAAACTAGGCTTATCTGACTTGGAAGACAATCAAAACTTGGAAGACTATCTACTGCCTGATAGCCTCTAGATTAAATTTACCAGGATTGGGGGTATATTGTGGGACTGCACTTCTCATTAACCGTAGTTAACTTGGCCAACTGAAGGTTGTAGACCAACAACATCTGGAACACCACACAGTCTCCATGCCAGAATTATTGTAAGTCGTGGTGGAGAACTGGTTTTGTATTCTAGGCTGGAACACCAACCAAGCAACTACATGGTCCAGATGATGGAGAGGAGCATGATGATGCTTCTGATGTCATTGATGTGATGGGGATCCTGTTGTCGCAGCTTTCTCAGCTTCAGTGCTGCCTGAAACTTCTAGCTAGCTAGCATTGCAGCTGAGGTTATGGCTTCACTCCATCCTTATCTTCCCAGTGGAAGAAAGCAAGCAGAAGCGTAAATGCATACAAGAGCTACTACTATTATTCATTCACTCCAAGAATTCAGAAGGCAATGTTTGCTGAATGTGTACTCAGGCCAAGAATTTAATTGAGCTGCCAGTCCATCTATTCTTAGTTTTTGCTTAGCCTTTTTAGCAGATTTATTTATTTCATGTTCAGAATGACTAAACCAGAAGTTGGGGAACCTTCTTTTAACCTAAGGAGTGAACCCTCATTTGGGAAAGGGGCCACATTTCAGAGGTGTATGGGGTCAAAGGAGAGTAGGTGGATTCAGCCATAATGGTTACCAATTTGGACATTTTTTTAATGAAGCAAAAAGCTTTCAGAGCTGCAAACCTTCATGCAACAGCTGTTTGGATTACAAAGCACAGGTTACCTCCCTTTGATGGCTTTTTAGGCTGCAAGTGTAGCTCATTTCCATGCAAAGCCATCTCGGGCTGCAAAGTGCAGCTTATTTCTGTCCATACGACCCCCTGATGTACAAACCACAGTTTACTGTACTTCTGCAGTCAAGATCAACTGTACATTGTCTTATTCTCTGTGCAACCATCTGAACTGGAACCTGGTGCGCTTGGTTTGGGCACAGTCACTGCTGGTCATAGCGTCACACATTTCCCCACCCATGTAGGTGTGCTAATCATTTGTCAGTATCTACTAACAGTTATGTAAGAACTGTACAAAGTTACTACTCAGTTTTTTTTTTTGTTTTGTTTTTTGGCCATCCAGTTAACAACATATTTGAATGTGTGGAATTTCCTTACTGTCACTGAGATTTGCTTAAATATTGAGCAATGCGAGAGGGAAAAAGACAAAATGAAAAGCAAATACTGCAGCAAATGGGTCTCAAATGCCAAGCATGGACAGCGTCCACCTGCAGTTACACACTGGGTTTCTTGCCAGGCCAGAAGTCATTATACAAAATGGGGCAACTCCCCCCAGCTGTTCTTCCTAAGCTTGCCCCCCCCCCCCTCTTCACCTTCAGAGGACTGGAGTAGGAACTCTGTCCATGCTCTGTTGCTGTTTGTTGGATAGTTGAGTATTTATAGCTGTGGGAACAGCTTTTGTCCTTTTCAGGAGACAGGGTGATATATCTTGAAATCAGGTATGCAAAGGCCCAATTGACCCCACTGATACTTAGACTTTCAATACTGCCTTATCACAAGCATTTGCTGGATTCTTCTGTAGCGATATCATATAAAGTCCAGCTACAGGATCCTTTGCCTACGGCTAAGAACATTGTAATTCATCCATTGGCCACTACGTCTTATGTAAACTGTTTTTTGTTTAGTTTTGCTTTTCAATCATACAATATGTGTTGTAATCAATATTTCAAAATATTAGCTTTGGTGATAATATGCTGTGCTACAAACAAATCTTACAGACAGGGTAGATTCAACTGAGAAGAACTCAATATTTCAAAATATTAGCTTTGGTGATAATATGCTGTGCTACAAACAAATCTTACAGACAGGGTAGATTCAACTGAGAAGAACTCGTACATACCGTGTTTCCCCGAAAATAAGACAGGGTCTTATATTAATTTTTGCTCCAAAAACGCATTAGGGTTTATTTTCAGGGGATGTTTCATTTTTTTCATGTACAACAATCTCCGTTTATTCAAATACAGTCATGTCATCTTCTTCTGGTTGTTGCAAATTGCTGCACAATGGTGGAGGACGAGGTTTCACTTACCTGGGGCTTATTTTCCAGATAGGGCTTATATTACAAGCATCCTGAAAAATCAAACTAGGTCTTGCTTTCAGGTTAGGTCTTATTTTCAGGGAAACAGGGTACATGCAGAGGCAACCTGGGTATAGCTTTGTCTTCTCTGTTGGGCTACCCTTTGTATGACCAGCTGCCTGTCCGTACATACATATGGTTTCACCACCAATTCATGGAGAAGAAGCCACTGTGTGACTGCATTCATGCTCTTGCACAGGCAAATAGCAACGTGACCACAATTCTTTGAACTGTAATACATGAACAAATAGGATCCTAAAGTGCTATCCCCAAACTTCTGAAAAGGAGCTCTATATCTATGTAAATGGGCATGGTTGCTGAGCTGAAGGAGAAGAAAGGCCAAGATTGAAAAGGGATGGGAGTGAGAGAGAGAGAGCGAACTCTGGGGTGGAATGGATGGGTTTATAACCCAGGCAAAGTGTGATATATCGTATTTTTCTGCGTATAAGACTATACTTTTGTCTAAAATCTTTAGACTAAAAATTGAGGCTCATCTTATACATGGAAGTAAGCTGAGGAGAGAACAAAAACAAGTGGAGGGGAAAGCAGGGATCAAAGCGATCCTGCAGGGCTTTGATCCCTTTCCCTCTGCACTTGCCAAGCCCCACTTATTTTTCTTAATTTTGCATTAGAAAAGTGGGGGGTGTCTTATATACAGAAAAATACGTATATAAGACACCTCATGTCTATATACTCTATAGGTAATGAAGCTATATAATGACAGGCTGAAAGTAAAATGCATAGAGAGTGTGATGATGGTTGTCATGTTCTCTTTGAAGTGAAGACTGATGAGACATCAGGTTCATATGTTGTTTCAACACTTCCTGAAACACAGCTTCTCATGGAAGGCAGCTGAAAAATACCCTCTGGTCTCTTGTATATATCTTTCACAATCTGTGTAACATGGATAGGGAGCTGCTTTTAATTACCCAATGTAATCACGTTGTTTTGCTGCCTTTGTGTAGCAAAAGAGCAATTGTGGGTTTTTTTTTTAAATAACTCCCCTTTAGCCTGTTACAGTACAACTTGAGCATAAATAAAGTCATTTACAGTAACTTTTCTTTGGCAGAGATATGGGGTATAAATTAAATAAATGCATATTAAGGTGGTTTTATGTTTGATATTTTATTTATTTAAATTATTCCACATTTTTCTACCAAAAAAGGTAGTGAATGGTAGTAACAAATAATGTCTTTGGCTGGCCACTCCAATATCTGTTGAATTCAGTTATTTGTTGAGCTGGTCAGCACCAGGTAGCACAACAGCGTTTCCTTCAGAGGACTGGAGTAGGAACTCTGTCCATGCTCTGTTGCTGTTTGTTGGATAGTTGAGTATTTATAGCTGTGGGAACAGCTTTTGTCCTTTTCAGGAGACAGGGTGATATATCTTGAAATCAGGTATGCAAAGGCCCAATTGACCCCACTGATACTTAGACTTTCAATACTGCCTTATCACAAGCATTTGCTGGATTCTTCTGTAGCGATATCATATAAAGTCCAGCTACAGGATCCTTTGCCTACGGCTAAGAACATTGTAATTCATCCATTGGCCACTACGTCTTATGTAAACTGTTTTTTGTTTAGTTTTGCTTTTCAATCATACAATATGTATTGTAATCAATATTTCAAAATATTAGCTTTGGTGATATTATTATGCTCTGCTGCAAACAAATCTTACAGACAGGGTAGATTCAACTGAGAAGAACTCGTACATACCGTGTTTCCCCGAAAATAAGACAGGGTCTTATATTAATTTTTGCTCCAAAAACGCATTAGGGTTTATTTTCAGGGGATGTTTCATTTTTTTCATGTACAACAATCTCCGTTTATTCAAATACAGTCATGTCATCTTCTTCTGGTTGTTGCAAATTGCTGCACAATGGTGGAGGACGAGGTTTCACTTACCTGGGGCTTATTTTCCAGATAGGGCTTATATTACAAGCATCCTGAAAAATCAAACTAGGTCTTGCTTTCAGGTTAGGTCTTATTTTCAGGGAAACAGGGTACATGCAGAGGCAACCTGTGCATAGCTTTGTCTTCTCTGTTGGGCTGCCCTTTGTACAACCAGTTGCCTGTCTGTCCATACATATGGTTTCACCACCAATGCATGGAGAAGAAGCCACCGTGTGACTGCATTCATGCTCTTGCACAGGCAAAGAGCAACGATTCTTTGAACTGTAATACGTGAACAAATAGGATCCTAAAGTGCTATCCCCAAACTTCTGAAAAGGAGCTCTATATCTATGTAAATGGGCATGGTTGCTGAGCTGAAGGAGAAGAAAGGCCAAGATTGAAAAGGGATGGGAGTAAAAAGAGAGAGCGAACTCTGGGGTGGAATGGATGGGTTTATAACCCAGGCAAAGTGTGATATACCATATTTTTCTGCGTATAAGACTATACTTTTGTCTAAAATCTTTAGACTAAAAATTGAGGCTCATCTTATACATGGAAGTAAGCTGAGGAGAGAACAAAACCAAGTGGAGGGGAAAGCAGGGATCAAAGCGATCCTGCAGTGCTTTGATCCCTTTCCCCCTACACTTGCCAAGCCCCACTTATTTTTCTTAATTTTGGATTAGAAAAGTGGGGGGCGTATCATACATGGGGTGTCTTATATATGGAAAAATACGTATATAAGACACCCCATGTCTATATACCCTATAGGTAATGAAGCTATATAATGACAGGCTAAAAGTAAAATGCATAGAGAGTGTGATGATGGTTGTCATGTTCTCTTTGAAGTGAAGACTGATGAGACATCAGGTTCATATGTTGTTTCAACACTTCCTGAAACACAGCTTCTCATGGAAGGCAGCTGAAAAATACCCTCTGGTCTCTTGTATATATCTTTCACAATCTGTGTAACATGGATAGGGAGCTGCTTTTAATTACCCAATGTAATCACGTTGTTTTGCTGCCTTTGTGTAGCAAAAGAGCAATTGTGGGTTTTTTTTTTAAATAACTCCCCTTTAGCCTGTTACAGTACAACTTGAGCATAAATAAAGTCATTTACAGTAACTTTTCTTTGGCAGAGATATGGGGTATAAATTAAATAAATGCATATTAAGGTGGTTTTATGTTTGATATTTTATTTATTTAAATTATTCCACATTTTTCTACCAAAAAAGGTAGTGAATGGTAGTAACAAATAATGTCTTTGGCTGGCCACTCCAATATCTGTTGAATTCAGTTATTTGTTGAGCTGGTCAGCACCAGGTAGCACAACAGCGTTTTTCGAGCACAGATCTTCACCAACCAGAGAGGAGTATAAAACGGTAGCTGTAATGGGGATGGATCTACCACTAAAAGGATTTCCTGGGTGGGCAGAGCCAATGGGCTATGCACCCCTCATGAAAACACATCTCATGGCACAACTATGGTGTTGCAAAGCTCCCCTCCCCCACTTTAAAATGTACATCTGCTTTTGTTCTAAAGGGCGTTCCTGGGTCGCTGCCAAATTCTAGCTGCAAGAAGTGAATCCCAAACTCAAAGCGGACGAGTGGAACTGAAACTGGCCACCAGAGCCACCCACTTCTGCTGTGCAGACAGGAACACATCTGCAGTAGAGTTAACCATAGGCCAGGGATCTGAACATGCTAGAACTATGCAGCATAGTTGCAGAAGACTCAATCAAGACAGAGGCTTCATAAACCATAAATCTATAAACTAATAAACAGTAATATCAGCTACCTACCACAACATTTGTTTGCAAATGATTGAACAGGTATAACAATGCATTGATTGAAATCTAGTAGTACATTGCAACTAAATTAGGCCCACTGAATCAATGAAACTTATGGTGTACCAATCATATCTAATTAACATTCATGTTATTCTGTCTTTGCTATTTTATGACAGAGGTGCTCACATCATTTAATGAAATACAGTACCTGCATATCAAAGATGCTATCACCACAGTGTTAAACATCCACTAACTTTCTTACCAACTAACCACGATTTCTGTATTTCGATCTTAGTAACTTAATGCCATGAATATTTGGCATATTATATTTCTTCCTGTTATGTCTGAGGAAGTGGGGCTGTCCACAAAAAAGCTCACGTTAAGATATAACAGTCTTTAAGGTGACACCACGTTTTTTTTCTTTATTTGTTCTTTTTATTTTGTTTTTACCTATTGTACCTACCTGCTATGATGGTTGTCCTCTATTTGTTATCATTTTCTAAGAAACAAAAAATTGCAAAAAATGAGAGACAGAGACAAACAGACATGCAAATCACCCCCATTGGAGAAGAGGACTCAAAGGAGAGAAGAACTTGACTGTAATAGAGCTTAGTTGGAAAAGCTACTCTTTTTTGGACTAACATGTTACCTGGGGGATTCTTCAAAGTAACTGATTACAAATAAGTTGCTAGTAATCAATTCCTTGTTTTGGAACTATGGCATAATTAACTAACATTGCAGTTGTAACATACATCTGTAACAAAACGTGTAGTAAATTACAAGAATACACTCATTAAATCACTGACAATCTGATGAATTAATTTCCCTTAAATTCATAGATTCAGTGTGCCTACTCTACATGTGACTATCTTCTGGATTTCAGCCAGTGAGAAGTACAGTAACTCCATTCCTTTGTGTGTAAAACTAACTGCCTTTCATTACTTCTGTAGTTATATGGCACATGAAGCTTCACGATATATTTATTTATTGGATTTTTATACCACCCATCGGTAGTCACTACAACATAAAGCATAAAAACACCCAGCCCCCCACTCACCAAACAGAAGATCTCAAAAGTAATCCCCTCCAAAAACAACAACACCACCACAGTGGTGACAGCAACCAAATGTCAATAAACACAACATATTTAGATGCTGTGCATATTACAAGCTAACAACTTGTACCATTCTGGTTGTTATGGTTTTGTTTTATCTGGGTTGTTTTTTTTCGAGTGGCAAAAATCTATTTTAGTTATGTGAAGCAAAGATTCCCCTTACCCCACCCACCCTGGTAACTTAAATTGCTTTGGTGTGCTGTAACTATACATGAATTGCTTTTTAAGGATAATTTTCCAAGCTAATTTAGGAAAGAGAGCAAAGCAGGAAGTGCAGGAAATGCATTCCTGGAGCCTTAAGTGAAATGCTGACCTGGCTTAATTTGGAGGGGAAAGCAGGCTTCTTCTGAAGCCTTCTGCGCTAAATTAGAGGCATGCTAGTGAAACTTGCTAACTCAGTCGCTTCAGCCCCAGCTATCAGTTCAGTACAAACCAGACTGGCTTGCTGTGCCTCAGTTCCTCCTCCTTAGTGCCCAAAAGCTTTTGCCAGGAGCTGACAAAAATATTCAGGAGAGGTGGAATTCTGTACGTAGGTTCAAGACGGTGGCAGTTCATCTCTTCCACACTGGGCAGCACTGCTACTCCCTGCAAATTAGGGGTTTTGTCCCCATTGACATCAGGAAGGAGGCCTATTTTCAGGGTGTGGTAGCATTGGCCTGTATGTTACTTAATAATTGTTTCAAATTGTAGTTGCTTAATGACAGCAACTAGATTTTATAACTAAATGTAACAACAATACATAGATTCATTTTGAGAGATTCGGACAAGTCTGTCAGTTTCGTGGCTTGAGTTTCATCGCTCTGCAAATTCTCTGCGTTTGTGTGTGTCTGCAATTGTGCAACTTCTGATTCTGGCGAAAGAAAAATTCTATTCAGAATTTATAAATATTCTTCTTTTAGATTAAAGTTCCCAGAACACCCCAGCTAACATGGCCACGGGAATTCTGGGAGAAGTACCTAATAAGGAAACTTTTCTAAGCTCTGATTCTAGTATATCACAATGCCATCTGAAATTTGCCCTCCCGCACCCCCAGTTAGCCTGGGGGAGGCGTTTTGCCATTCTGTTCTATCCGCCAATTGAAAACTGAATATAGGCTTTTATTTTATCTCCTTTCAGCAATTCCCTTCCTTTGTTTGCTCACAGTGGGCAAACACTCTTGCAATATCACCATCAATATTATAATTGACGAGCCTCGTGGCGCAGTGGTTAAACCGCTGTACTGCAGCCAAAACTGTGCTCACGACCTGGGGTTCAATCCCAGGTAGCAGCTCAAGGTTGACTCAGCCTTCTATCCTTCTGAGGTTGGGAAAATGAGTACCCAGCTCGCTGGGGGGGGGGGCAATGTGTAGCCTACATAATTAACTTGTAAACCACCCAGAGAGTGCCTGAAGTACTATGGGGCGGTATATAAGCAGCACACTTTTATAATTCAACTCGCGCTATGGGGCGGTATAGAAGCAGCACACATTTATAATTCAACTTTTTTTTTCTATTTCAGGAAATGGATGCAATTATTCAAGGACAGTCCCTGATTTTGGAGTCCTCTATCATGTCAAAGGTAAACTTCACATATTGTCATTTTCAGAGGCAGTCTCCCACTTGCCTTGTTGACTTTGGCTAAAATATCTGATGTGGACAACTCAGCCATGTTGATGATCACATTGCTAAGCCACTTTTAACTATCCCCTTTCCCTATCCTGTGGCCTACTTCTGTGTAGTGAAACTGATCTATATGCAGGATGGAAGTGCTGAATCTGACAGTTGTGGCTGTGTGTACACAATAAATACCTGCTCCTGCTTAGACCACAAAAATGAAAACCAGAATCGTGCAGAATATCTTTCATCTATTCTAGAGAGATGTGATAACAACAGGATCACTTCCAACTTCCACTTGGGATATAGGGAGGGATCATATGGGAAAATATCTGCCGGTCCTCTTTAGCGGTGAACTGGTGTGCACATATTCTACTGATCAGAAGTTAATTATTGAATGGATATCTTTTGCAGTTAAAGGACCTTTTCTGACCATTTAATAGACCTGCAGTCATACACACACATATTGGGAAGTTACTTATATTGAATGTACCTTTTAGTAGACACCGGTAGGATTGTCCTGTAAATGGGTGGCTAGAACAGCCCGTATGCAGAGATGTTCAAGTTTATACTTCCTTTTTTTCCCAGTTTTGAAAGAGACCCAGTATGTTTTGGGGGGTAAAGCAGGAATTAGTGTATTGGGTATGATGCAGGGGATGCTTACTCTAAACTGCCAAGGTATATGAAGGGCCACTGTCATCCATAGTTTGTGACATTTCATCATGGATCTGATTTGCACCTTTCCCTTGGAGAAACAGGAACTTTATTATGGTCCTATGCTCTTCCACACTGAAATTTTCTGGAGGTGCCGCCATGTTCACTTTGGACCTGAACATGAAAGATAAGTTAAAATCATAGGTAGCTGAGTTTTGCACCATTGAATACAGACAAGAGTTGATTTTTGCACCATTGAATACAGACGGTTTGACCAATACCCCCTGCAATTTATAGCTCCCTAGCTCATTTTTTCTGGGAAAGGCTCAATACGTATCATCACCCCCTCGTATATTACATCTACAGCAGTCCCACAATCTACCAGGGAGGTTATCTGATTTTTAAAAATGAGATTAAATGAGCCTGACAGGAGATTTGTTCAATCTTGGCAAATCCGTGTTGGCTTCTAGTTATCCCTGCGTTGTTTGCAAGGTGCTTCCAGAGTGAGCACCTTACATTTGAAGCAGAATTTTTCCAGTGCTCTAAAATAGAAATGCTATATCCTTGGACAAAATCCTGTTAGTTTATTTATTTATATTTATTTATTTATTTGATTTTTATTCCGCCTATCTGGACCAACGGTCCACTCTTGCCTGGGATTGATGTCAGAGTGACTGGGCTGTAGTTCCTAGGTTCCTCCTTTTTGAAAATAGGGACACCGTTATCCCTCCTACAATTATCTGGCAGTTTGCAAAAAAAAATAAGAAACAGTGGTTCTGAGAGTTGTTCAGCCAGTTCTTTCAGCGCTCTGAAAGATTTGAACTTGTTCAAAGTCATGAGCTGTTCCTTGATTGTTTGTTCATCAGTGAGAGGGCAATGGCTACAATCCTTGGTCATCACATTACTACACATCTGCTTATCTCTCCACAAGTACCTGATGATTTATGTGTAAATTTAATTTACACTTGATTTATGTGATTTATGTGTAAATTTATGGTAACTATCTTAAAAGAGTGCCATTTCCTATTTTGATGTGCCATGCTTTAAAGGGGTATATGTGTGTGTGTGTGAAGAAAGAGTGGAAATTGGGTGACCAGCTGTAAGGTGATTGGATCAGAAATCTTAAAACATTTACTCCAGAATAAAACATTAACTATTTGTCTTAGGATTCTGTGCATCATACAATGTGATGTGTGTGTATGTGTGTGTGGGAGATTGTCATATATAACCAGAAAACCTTGCCCTAATTTTTTTCAGTTCATTAATCAGTTAATATACTGTTTTGCCTTTCCTTTCCTTTTCACTGTTTTTGTTTTTCACTTACACCCAGATCACACTAATTTTCAAATGCTTGTCATTTATCTGAGGTAACACAATTGGTCTAAACAGTTCTTTGACAGATGCCGGACTTGATGATCCATAGTGTCCCTTCCAGCTTTGCAGTTCCCCACAGTTGTTGTTGTTATTATTAATTAATTAAAATAATTTAAAACAGCATCCAGATTAAGCAGGGCCTAACTATAAGTCCACTGCAAAACAACTACAGCCTCTTTTCCTGTATTTAAAGACAGTGGATTCTTGAACCCGTTAAGTCATTACTTGTAAGGAAGGAAGTGTGCAATCCATTCTGGTCTTCTTGCTCTGGGATCAGGAAGACCGAAGTAATCAACCCAATCATTACTAGTTGTAACAAAGTCAACAGGAGGAAGAGCGTTAGAAATGCCTACATTGGCTAAATTTCAGTGAAGAACTAATTGCTGTTGAGAAAATGCTGATGCTACAGTGGTTCGGGGCACTTAACACTTGATATTGCATTCACATTAATGCATGCTTATTATTGCTGTGTTTTGAAACCTGCTTGCTATTTAGGCCTGTTCACGGCGTGGTCGGTTGTACAGGAATTGCAAGTTTTGCACCATTAACCACTCGATGGGAAGCAAAATCAAGGCTGTAAATTGGTGCCTTCTCTTTTGCCAAATGAGTATGGGTGAGGATATCTTTGGAATCCAGTCCGGCCTCTTCCTCCAGCTAACCTACCTAGATACAATTTTATTGGGCGTGTGCCTCCCATTACTCAGTCCCCGTGTTTAACCTGAACAGGTCTGTGCTAATCTTGCAATGAATGGATTCTCCCTACCGAATCCTTTCCAGGAATATAGTTGCCGGATTATATATATACATTTTTCATGATATTCAGCCAAAATCAATACCAGTGATCCCATATATATGGTATTGATTTTGGCTGAATATCATGAAAAATGTCTTAACTGTTAGAGTAGTACGAGAATGGAACAAATTACCTCTGGAGTTAATGGGCACTCCAAATTGGACAATCATCTGTCAGATCTGCTTTGATCTGTATTCCTGCATTGAGCAGGAGGTTGGATTTGATAGCCTTGCAGACCCCTTCCAATTCTATTATTTTATGATTCTTTGATTCTGTGATCTGTGGAAATAGTGTTTTCCTCTGATTCTTCAGTATTGCAGAATTAGATACTTCTTCTTCTTCTTCTTCTTCTTCTTCTTCTTCTTCTTCTTCTTCTTCTTCTTCTTCTTCTTCTTCTTCTTCTTCTTCTTCTTCTTCTTGTGACATTTGGACCACCCAAAATGTCACAGAAGTAAGTGCTCAAAAGCAGCATAAGATTTCAGATTTTCACGAACTCTTCAGAAGTCATTATGTTTTAAAAAAATGAGGAGATAGAGAGGACACTAGAAGTTCAAAGGGATGACCTAGTACTGTTGGCTAATCTGTATGCATCTCTGTAGCTGCAAGATTTGGACTCAGGCTTAGTGAACAAAAAGGTGTTGAAGTTCAGCTTACAATTTGCTGCAACACATGGCAGATGGTGTCTTCCTGTCTCCCAGCAACCAGAGGCACAGCTGAGATACAGGCAGCTGTAGGTTGCAGACTTCTGCCTTGACAAAGGCATCGAGAAGGAACATTTCCCTATCAGCCTTGTTGTGAGGACTCTGTAGGAGATCTTACAATTATGGTTATCCCAAGACTGTTTTTTTCCCTGACTCTACTGGGCCACAATCATATCAGATATTGCATTGCACTATGAAGAAATTTGGGTAATTGTCTTGATGGGTGCCACATCCCATTATTTAAAACCCCTGCACCTTCTCTTCCTAGGATGCTTCTGGTCCCGTGGAAGAGATCTAAAAAATAGATCAGGGAAAAGCTTTGGGATGTCCGGGAATTGCAAATGCTTTTGCACCAGGTGTTCATTGCAGAATTGCCACACTCTGATCATTTTGCTTTGATGGTTATCTATTCTGCATGATGTCATCATCCAGTTGTTTTCTGCATGATCCCTCTTTCTTTGCTCAAGACTCTTGAGTATCCCATTTTAAGTAGAACTAGAGTTTTAGGAACTACTTTTTTGTATCCTAGCTTCCAGCATTTCCCTAGCTAAGAGCCAAAAAAGGAAAGAGTGGGCGACACCTTTATGAGACCACTAAAGTCTCTCATTGGTCCCCCGCCCCTGCAGAGGCTCTGAATTTCAGTGAGTAAGCCCCACCAGGTGATGATCTGTCAGTGACAGCGAAGCTACAGAGAGTTCTTCTGCACCCATATCAGCAACATCTATCCCAACGCAGAAGACCAGGTCTAAAGTCTGCCCTGGAGCATGAGTGGGACAGACCCATCATTGTCATTGACAATGTCATTGATTAGGTCCTCGATGGCTGTTGTTTTCCCATTTATTGATCTGGCATTTAGCAGCATCTTTCCTAGTCCAACAAAAAGGGGGAAGAGCTGTGTGGCCCCAGAGAAAAGAGTGGATGTACAGAAAGAAAATCCATGGCCATATGTTTGGGTCAAGTTCCTGGTTTAAAGTCCCCAACTGGGAGCTGCAGAATATGCTCACTATATTAAGCAAAAGAGCAATTTTTCCAATTCTTCATAGGACAGAATAGTAGGGTTGCCACCCACAGGTGTGAACAGCCTTTTGTCATCTTTCACAGCGGCATAGTCTTTATGAATTTGTTAATGTTTTATGAGCTCAAGGCAGGATACAGAGCCTCTCCCATCGCCATTATTACTGTTACACAACAGCCATGTGAAGTACACTTGATTGACATTTAGTGACCTAGCCCATCCAGTGGTATCATGGCCACTTGGAGATTTGATTTTGAATGTGTATAGTCCTACTCCAAGGCTCTAACCACTGCCCTGCACTAATCTTAAAGGCATTGAGCAACTCAACCAGTTTCTGCCTTAATTCAACATGCCTTTACTATCAGCTTCCTTGAGGCTGTGATTTTTATCTTTTACTTCCTTTCAGATGGCTGTTTAATTTGTGCTAA